CCCCCAATTTATGCGACACCATTTGACTTGGCACTGAAGTTTAAGAAAGGAAGGAAGACTTTTAAAACTTGAGGTCCAAAACAAGCCTTAGACATTTGTGTGGCTATAAATCATCTCAGTAAAGGTAAAAACATAAATTTTTCTGAATGCTTATAGCATGAAGAACATAAGCCAGATGACAGAACTGGAAGACTCAGGAGGTAGAAGATCATAACATGACTGATTCAGCAAATCTGGATTCTCATATATATACATATACACGCACTATTTGTATAGATATCATCATTTATATCTAGAAGATAGTATGTTTTTGAAGAAGCTTGTACAGTTTGAGTTAAATTGTTTTTAAAATATAGAAAAGTGACATTCTTTTGGAACAAACAAAAAAAGGAAAACATTCCACGTAAATTGGGACAGAGGGAGTAATAAGTTTATCAAATGCTAGTTTATCTCTTTGGAGGCAACTCCTTATAAATATGATGGGGAATTTTGCAGGCATTGCTGAGAGTGACAATCTAAATTCTTCTTTAGCAGATGCCCTCAACGACACTCAAAGAGTTGAATATATGCATAGCCACTTGAATTCTTTAGCAAATGCAATGAGGTATATCTCTCCCTCTCTCCGACACATACTAATTCCACATACTGATCGTGTAAAAAGATCTTTATACTGTCAGTATATATAAGTTAAATCCTTAACTTATATATGTTCGGTTGGTTTTATATATAATCAGGGACGGTGCAGATGTGAGGGGCTATTTCGCTTGGTCATTGCTCGACAACTTTGAATGGTTAGAAGGGTATACAAAAAGATTTGGATTGCATTATGTCAATTTTACCAATCTCCAGAGAACTCCAAAATTATCAGCAACTCGGTATAAGGAGCTCATGTCTAATTTTCAAGGACAGATAGCAAAATATACAGCATAAAGAATACTAGAGTGAAACAAAGTACAAGCACCATTCCTTTCTGGAGATCCTTCAACTAGTTTTTCCTCTTGGTTTTTGATCTAAAGAAAGGAAGGTCAAATGTGAAATCAAAATATAATTAGTCAGGCTTATCTCTTTCTTTATATTTCGAAAGATAGATGTGTATTATAATTGCAAAATAAAGGTGTATAATTATATAAATAAAACTGTTTTTTAGAGCTTAGTTTAACAGTTGTTTCAATTAGTACCTTGTACATACAAAGATTTGAACCACTCATTATATCGCTTCAGATTGAGTGATTGACTCCCCTCAATTTGGAAAACTTGTGGAGAGTACCTAAGCCCAAGATACAGTTGGTTGTACTACTTCCTCTTCTTTTTTTTTTTTCTTTTTTTTTTATATATATATATTTATAACGATGGCGTCCAAGACAACAGAGTGCACCTCTCCGTTACCTCCCACGTTGAGCTATGTTGAAAATTGGTTTTGATGATTAACAAATGATTGTCTAAGAACTAGGTCTCTAAAAGATATCTATTGAAGTAACATACATGATTGCAAATATGACTAGCAAATATGACTGGCAGATAACGAAAGAACCAGGTTCTCTTTCAGGTTCCTAGAGTGCGTTGATTAGAGCTAAAATTATGATTTTCTAATGCAAGCACGATTCCGCGAAGGTTTTGTTACTTAGGCTGCAATTGTGTTACTTACTGAAGAAATCCGTGTACAACAAGGCGTCATTAATTGCTACACTTGCATACAAAAAAAGGATTGTATAGATTCTATGTCCGAATTTATTGTATAGATTCTATGTTCGGATTCTTCTGACCATAACTTTTTCATATGTCTTTCTAAATATTTTGAAATGTTAATTAGTGTGACTTATAGTAATTTTTATATGATTTTCAAAAATATAAATTTTTTCTTAAATACTTAAAGATTCTATGTCTGGTTGTATTGACAAACTTAAGAAGTTTAATTCTCGAATTCGAAAAGTATCATCCTTTTTGGGAAGAAGGGAGTATTATTTTGTAAAGAGGATTAGTGTTTTGGAAAATACTCTTTCTGAGATTATTTTCTTTAGATATGGTTTTAACTATAATTTGTACTTTCTCTTCTTCATTGTAGACGAAGGTAATATAATGAATCATATAAATGTGACGGTCTTATTAACATTTTATTATTAGGTAATTTGCTCGCGATTCGCATGGTCATGAATGACCTCATTAAGCTTATAAATGAACCTTTGCTAATATCTGAATAAGAAGTTCAAGATCTCTTTCTTTACGATGATGAGGAAGGTTAAGGCCTCATTTGTTTTTTTCAAGATTAAAACGTCTGAATTTGAATACACATCTAAATATCAATATGTGTATTAAGACTAACATATCTGAATATGAATACACATCTGAATATATTAAGATGTGTATTAAGATCTGAATACTAAATAATAAGACTATTTGATTTTTAACATCTGAATAGATAAAATTTATCTTTATTTGAAAATTAATAAACATAAAATTCAAATGAAATACTAATTAATCTAATATTTTATCAATAAAATATATAGTTTTTTAAAATATGATAGTTGTTTGTGGTGATGGCTAACGGGTGAATGCTGACTAGAGGCAGTGCTTGCTGGTAGTTTTGGTTGATGATGGTGGTTCATGCTAGTAGTTACCAGTGATTGATAGTGGTGACGTGTTACAACCCATATTAACATACGTTAGTTCATGTCATAAGGTCGTCGAGGTAAATCCATGAAGAGATTATCTTTAAGATGATAAGAGGTTAATCCTATTGGTCTTAAATGATACAAAGGTGTATAAGGGTGGTTAACAAGTATTAGAAGTTAAACGAATCAAGGATGTTGTCAGCCGTATTTTGGATAAACCTAGGGGTGCTTAATACTCTCAAGAGGTCGTATTTTAAGGTATATGAATCATAAAATATCCGTATCATAGTCTTGAAGTCAAACGAGTTATGAAACAAAAGTCGACAAGAGTTGTTGCAACTTAGGTTCATAGTTTTACTTAAACGTTAGGTCAAATGTTATTAAGCTTTTCTCCCAATATACTTGGAATTACGGGGTGATCTACCCACCAAATTGAAGATCTATGAGTCTAGTTTCCAACGCATTAAACCTTTTATCAATACGACATTGGAGTAGAGAGATATAGACATTTTTGCGAGACTGCACAAGCTGCTAGGTGACAAGTAGGTGGGTCACCTACTTGGTTAAATGATAGCCCAAAAAGAGGCAATTTCGGGTCAGACAAAGAGCCCATTAAAAGGCTTATCTTCTACAATATATCCCTCATTATATTTCACAAATAACCAGACCTAAACCCCTGCAAACTTCCTCCCAAAAATTATGCACAAACCCTAATTGATTTCCCTCTCTTTCAAGTTCAAATTGGGGGTAAACCCTAGAGTTTGAAGAACCAAGATAAGGGCTGAGTTATCCAACAAGTAAGGCGAGTTTACCGCTATCTTTCATACATTTATTCTGCTGTGAATTCATGGTAATTCGTTCTATACATGTAAGAACTCACGGGACGGTGATCGGAAGCCGTGAGTTCGAGTTATTCACTTGTAGCGGACTGTATTGTGGACTGTTTTGTGTTGCTGTTGGTCTGCGTGTTTTACTACTGTTTTGTGGATTTTTGGAGGAGGAAGGGTGTGGAGAAACACCATATAGATGTAGGGTTGTGGCTGGTAGTTCTTCGTAACATTTCCGGGTCGTTTGACACGACTACGGTGGCCGTCGTATGTATGAAGTGATTAGGTTGTGCGTGGACTGTTTTGGGAGGCTCAATATGATTATTATTGATGTTTTTTGAGTTGTTTGGTGATTGTTTGGAATTAAGTGAAGTCATATATATAGGGGAGGTGTTGTCCGTTTCATCGTAAAATAGGTTGTGGTCGATACATATTAGTTATGACGCTTGAATGATAACTATAGTATCGTTTCTCTTATTGTAGACTAAGGAGTCGTGAAAATTGCATAGCTTGAGATTGGGGCAGTATATACAAGGTATGTGAGGCTATCCCTTTCCTTCTTTTGCACGACTCCGATTGTACATAATGTAATGAACGAGCTTCCAAAGATACTCTACTCTTAGAAGCTAGCAGTACTTACATTGTTTCCCCTCTTATGGAACGATTGATGTTGATGTTGCTTCTCTTAATTTTATGTTATCAATGTTATTGGTACTTCCTGATTCTTATAAGGTCCATGGTGAAGAGTTAGTCCTAATAACGTGTACACAGGATACCGACCTTACGTCACTCCGAAAGTTTTAGAACGTGAGTCCATGAGTCGAGCATGCATTATATTATGTATCTATTTTACTCTACCGAGCCGCGCTATAGACGGCCGAGTATGGTACCTATTGTGCAACCACTGATCAGTTGGGTTTTACCGAGCTCCACGTGGCCGGGTACGATTCTACCGAGCCTTATGATGGCCGGGTACGTTTTTACCGAGCCTATTACGGCCGGGTACGATATGATGATGATGATTCCCACAGAGGCGTATGTTTTAAAAGTTTATGTATATATACATATGTATCACGCATTTCATGTCAGTAGCCCTCAGAGGTACCCAGATGTTACAGGTTGTTTATTCTCTATCCCTGCTTACATTACTGTTCGTACTTATGGTTCCCTGCCTTACATACT